AAGCCCCCCGAGGGCGCCACGGCGGGTGACGGGAGGGGGGCCGCGCACGGGCCCCCGAGGGCGGCTCGACGGGCGACGGGAGGGGCCGCGCGCGGGCCCCCTAGGCGCCGCGACGAGGCGACGGGAGGGGGCGGCGCGCGGGCCCCCAAGGTGCCGCGACGAGGCGACGGGAGGGGGGGGACGCGCGGGCCCCCAGGGCGCCGCGACGAGGCGACGGGAGGAGGACGACGGGGGGCAGCGCGCAGGTCCCCGGGGGCGCCACGACGGGCAGGAAACCGCCGCGCGCCTCGGGGCGCACGGCGGGCAGAAAACCGCCGTACGCCCTGAGCGCACGGCAGGAAGAAGACGGCGCGCGCCCGAGGCGTGCGAGAAGCAGAATAGCAGCGGAAGCAGTTAGGTGGCGGGCCCACCCACAGGATCGACCCAAGGGGGTCGACCTGCTCTGATAGCATGTCAAAAAGGACTAGGCAAGAATGATGGAAAAGAGAGGGGTTTCACTAGCAGCAGTTGGGGTACATATAGCAAACCCTAACTGGGTTGTACTCGCTATAGAGCACCCCACTACAGGCTAGACAATAATAACATTCTGACAAGGGGCGCACAGTGCACTGGGCAGGACGACGTGGCGGCGCGCGGGGAAGGGCGGCGCGGTGGCGCGCAGGGCAGGGCAGGGCAGGGCGTGCGTGGGCGGCGCGATGCTGGGCAGGGCAGGGCGTGCGCGGGCGGCGCGACGCAGGGCAGGGCGTGCGCGGGCAGCGCGACGCAGGGCAGGGCGTGCGCGGGGCGGCGCAACGCAGGGCAGGGCAGGGCGTGCGCGGGCGGCGCGACGCAGGGCAGGGCATGCGCGGGGCGGCGCAACGCAGGGCAGGGCAGGGCTTACGTGGGCAGCGCGATGCAGGGCAGGGCGTGCGCGGGCGGCGCGACGCAGGGCAGGGCAGGGCGTGCGCGGGGCGGCGCAGGCTACAGGCGTGGGGTAGCATGGGCAGAGAAATGGATCTTGGTGGGCCCTAGGGAGCGGTCCTGCGGATGGACCAGCTCTGATACCATGTCAGAATCAACATGCAGGAATGAATTCACTAGCAAGGCATGAAAGTACAAGTACCTAACTCTAAAAGGGTTGTACCCTATATGGGCTACCCCACTACAGCCTACATACATATAAATAAGTCTTGTCAGTCGTTGTCTCCTCGTTTGTCGCAGGCCGGTTGGACTGCGCTTCAGCGGTCAGATTCGTCGACCTCCAGATCCTCCGGCCATACTTACGCGAGCGTGTGCCGGAGGCCACTTTTCGTTCGCCGAAGATTTCGGTGGCGTTGCGAAGGATTCTCGAGTCGCTCTGATACCATGCTACGATCAGAAGTTGATCGTAACCAGGACCACCTCGGGAAGGATCGCACAGAGAATATGGTAGAGGTGGGCTCTTGACCTCAAATCAGAGTGAATGGAAAACATGCAAATAAAGGCATATGAATAGTAGTACAAGGGAATACCAATCGTCCTAACTAGCCATGTACTCTAAGGGGTACGTTCCCTTTTTCAAATTCATGTTGGAAACATATAGTCCGCGCTTCTGAAGTATCAAGCACCACAACGTAAGCGAGACGAACTACAGCAAAGCAACAAGCGAATCAACCAAAGCGGTTGACACAAAGCAACAACAAGAGGTTGAGTGAAAGTCAAAGGTCAGCGACCTTTGACTCGCCGAAAACAGCGCAACAGCAATGACACATAACTGACTCGTTAATGAGCAGTTACCCGAGTCGTCGCTGTATCGAACCGCAACAGCAGTTACAAAAGCAGTTAGTTAAACCTTTCATATTCCCTTGTAATCATATAAAAGCCTTGTATTACCTTGCTATAATCAACTTATCTTGTCCTCATACACCAGCACAAGGTGGTTCAAACCAGTTCACTAGAACGCTTCCGCTAATTACATCATAATCCTAAGTCTTAGTGTTGAAAACATCAATTTCTCAGCCCAACAATTCAAACCCAACCGTGCGGTGCGTACAATTACGAAACTTTTCCCACCAATTTCCTCGCTCCTGCAGCTGCCCGATGTCGTCTACTCCGATGGTCCAGATGCATTCCAATTGTCTGCGTTGTTTCGAGTTATTTCCGACTCTTCGTCTCCAACTCCGATACTTTGTGCTTCATTAGCTGCTGCCAAGACTGTACGCTGCCATTTCTTAATTTATTTTTTGTAACAACATGTGGTATATGTTTTTTAACCAAAAATGTAATGTAATATAGCGAAAATGAAATAGGGCGTACGCTTTTCTCTATGCGGAGCGCAAATTTGTCTGCGTGCTCACTGTCAAGTTATGTTTAGATCTTTGCAAAATATGTTCGGCTGCAGTGAGGTATTTAGTATAGGGTACGTAACCTCGATCACCAAACTCAATTCATTCCAGTACCTACTGAGATGGTATCATCGAAAGGCACGTTCCTAGGCTTTAGACTGCCTCCTTTTACCTCCTAGTCAACCAGCCAGTCGATTTCCTCGTCCGCCAGCCCGCTCCCTCGCTCGCCAGCCAATTGCCCACAGGCAGCGCGCCCCGCCACTGCATAGCGCGAGCGCCAGCCTGCACCCGCGCGCGCGTAGTCTGCATCCGCGCGCACCCAGCGCACAGTCCGCATGCCGCCCGCGCGCGAGTCGCCAGCAGTAGCCGCGCGCGCAAAGCCTCCGCGCGCACGCAGTAGCGCGCGCGCCACGCGCAGCCGGTAGCCGCACGCGCAGCGCACGCACTGCAGCGCTCGCACAGCGCACGGCGGCATCCGCACGCACGCCCGTCGCCCAGCGCGCGCCGGCTACCACCGCCCGCCCGCCACGCGCAGCGCTGCTCCTGCCGCGCGCCGCTCACAGCAGCGCTAGCAGCCCCCGGTACAGCTAGCTGCCAGCAGGAACCCCCCGCCAGCAGCCCCCTACTCATACGCACCTCGCCTGCTAGCAGCGTACCCACCTGCTAGCAGCGTACCCACCTGCTAGCAGCGTACCCCACCTGGAGCACGCCCTGCTGACCATAGGCGGACGGCACCGATGCCAACATGGCTCTCCCTCGTCGAATTGCGCTCTCATGTCTCTGTCTCCTCGTGTGCGCCCTCCTCGTCTGCCGAATATGGGTCTTCTCCAGCTCCATTTTCACCGTCGCTTCTCCTACCTCCACTGCTGTGTCTAGTTCCCGGGCCGATTTCAAATCACCCAGCGCGGCACAGGCTCTGCTAGTAGGCGTTGTTCACGACGCTGCGGGCTCAGCACCTAGCAGCAGCAGCGCGCCTTCCCCGTCCGCGTCGCTTTCCTCCTTCGATCCCAACAATATCTGCAGTCAAGCCGGCGCTTACGCTGACACGCGTGCCGCAGAAGGATCGGATCTCGCCGAGTTCTCGCACGTCAACATCAGCGGCGACGGGTGGGATGGCCCCGCCACGCCATTCCAGTCCGCGTGCTTCCAAATCCAAGGTGTGGCCAAATCCAAGGTGCGGCCAAATCCAAGGTGCGGCCAGGCCACAGCATCCATCCACTGTGTTCCTCGTGATAAAGGAAAGAGCTTTTGAGGAACCTTAAACCCGAAACCCTGAAAAACTCTCTTTTTATCACGCCTCATCGCATTCGTGCTTCTGAATTCTAAGGTGCGGCCACAGCATCCGATATGACTTTTGAGTTGACTCAAAAGCCAAGCTGAGGCTACATCATCCACTGTGCTCCATCCTGTGCGTCCATCCAATACCACCTTCCGCTGCCTGCCTGCGCTCTCTCAGCGCTGTGCGTCACGTCACACTCTAGGCGTTCCCTGCCAGCAACGCCTGCCGCTCCTGATCTGACTCGCTGCTGCACGTGCCATGTTGCCCACCGGCTTGTGCCTCCCCTGCAGCTTTTGATGTGGAAGGCGGGCCATTCGACCGTGCTTGCAGGTACGACTGTCATTCACCTCGTCTATCATCCAGCTTTCCTTCTCTATTCTTGCTCTAGCCCATGCGCGCACGGCCTTGCCGCTAGTGGCCTTGCCGCTAGTGGCCTAGCAACTGTGGGCTGGGTCACAGATGGTCTGTCTTGGGGATATGATGTCCGCCTCATGCCATGCCCAACCCACCTTCTCCTGCATGTCTCGCCTTGCGTGCGTGGGGAGTGCGTGTGCGGGGAGTGCGTGTGCGGGGTGGGCAGGCAGCGCGCCTTCTTCGTGGCGAGGATGCGTCGCGTTGCCGCCAGCGACGGGGACTCCGCGTCGGACGAGGCAGTGGCTGAGGAAGTGCAGGCGCCGCGAGTGCAGTACCTGCCTGAGTCAAGCTCGCACCAGGTGAGCACTCCCCCCACCCCTGCTGCCGTGCTTTTGAGGCGCCTCAAAAGTGGCTGAACAAGTGCAGGAGCCACGAGTGCAGTACCTGCCTGAGTCAAGCTCGCACCAGGTGAGCACTCCCCCCACCCCTGCTGCCGTGCTTTTGAGGCGCCTCAAAAGTGGCTGAACAAGTGCAGGAGCCACGAGTGCAGTACCTGCCTGAGTCAAGCTCGCACCAGGTGAGCACTCCCCCCACCCCTGCTGCCGTGCTTTTGAGGCGCCTCAAAAGTGGCTGAACAAGTGCAGGAGCCACGAGTGCAGTACCTGCCTGAGTCAAGCTCGCACCAGGTGAGCACTCCCCCCACCCCTGCTGCCGTGCTTTTGAGGCGCATCAAAAGTGGCTGAACAAGTGCAGGAGCCACGAGTGCAGTACCTGCCTGAGTCAAGCTCGCACCATGTGAGCACTCCCCCCACCCCTGCTGCCGTGCTTTTGAGGCGCCTCAAAAGTGGCTGAACAAGTGCAGGAGCCACGAGTGCAGTACCTGCCCGAGTCAAGCTCGTACCAGGTGGGCGCTCCCCTTCCCCCACCCACCAGGTGGGCGCTCCCCTTCCCCCACCCACCACCTGCGCTCCCCCCACCCTCCAGGTGGGCGCTCCCCCCACCCACTAGGTGGGCGCTCCCCTCCCCCCACCCACCAGGTGGGCGCTTCCCCCACCCCTGCTGCCATGCCCCACCTGCCGTTGTCGCCGCTGGATTTCAGCATTCTTGCTCTCGTCTGTGCACCCACGCCCTTGCCAGTCGCGCCCACTCTTCTGCTGCAAACTGCGTGTATGGTGTGTGCTGTGCTGTGCTGTGCTGTGCTGTGCTGTACTTTACTGTACTGTGCTGTGCTGTGCTGTGCTGTGCTGTGCTGTGCTGTGCTGTACCACGTGCGCCCATCAACCTATGTGTGTGCGTGTGTGGGGCCACGAGCAGGTGTGCTACACGGTGCAGCGTGGTGGTGGGGTATACGAGGTGGTGGTGACGCTGCCGTGGACCAACGCCTTCCTGCTGCGCCAGGCCGTCAACCCCAAACTCGCCTCCGGCTTCTTCAGGTGCCACTGCCACTGCCTGGTGTTACTTTTGAGAATTCTCAAAGGGTGCCACTGCCTGGTGTTACTTTTGAGAATTCTCAAAGGGTGCCACTGCCTGGTGTTACTTTTGAGAATTCTCAAAGGGTGCCACTGCCTGGTGTTACTTTTGAGAATTCTCAAAGGGTGCCACTGCCTGGTGTTACTGTTGAGAATTCTCAAAGGGTGCCACACTGCCTGCCCTGCGCCCGCCCTCTCCTCCCCATGCCCTGCCCTGCTGTGCTGTGCCTTGAATGAACCACCTGCTGTGCTGTGCCTTGAATGAACCACCTGCTGTGCTGTGCCTTGAATGAACCACCTGCTGTGCTGTGCCTTGAATGAACCACCTGCTGTGCTGTGCCTTGAATGAACCACCTGCTGTGCTGTGCCTTGAATGAACCACCTGCTGTGCTGTGCCTTGAATGAACCACCTGCTGTGCTGTGCCTTGAATGAACCACCTGCTGTGCTGTGCCTTGAATGAACCACCTGCTGTGCTGTGCCTTGAATGAACCACCTGTGCTGCAAGTGCCTGCCCTCTTGCAACTGTGCTGACCACTGCTGCTCGTCGCTCGCAGGTCCAAGGTCGTGGCTCAACGCAACATCACCGTTGCTGCCGCCACCGCCCTCCATGCCTTGGAGAACGGCACGGATTCTACTCAAATGAGGTGCGCTGCGATGCTTGCTGCGTGTCCCTGCATGCCCTCTGCGTGTCCCTGCATGCCCTCTCCACCCACCTTTCTCTCTCCACCCGCCTCACTTCCCTCTCGCCTCTGAGTGTGCCTTCTTTCGTCATCCGCACATGCACACTCGGTGGTGGCTACTCATTTCCCAACCCACACGGGCCCGTCCGTGCCTGCCCCTCCCTGCTGTGTGCCACCCCGCCCCTCCCTGCTGTGGGCCCCCCCGCCCCTCCCTGCTGTGTGTGTGCGGCGTGGCAGCAAGGAGCAGAGCCTGCCGCGGTGCACATTCAGCCTGCTGCGGGAGTCGCGGCATGCGGGCTTCTGGCGGGGAGACACGTGGCACCCCACGGCCTGCCGCCTGCCTGCCCCCATCACACCCGCACGCATTGGACGTTGCCTGCACGGCAAGAGCGTCCTCATTCTAGGTCTCGCCTCCTGCCCACCCCCACCTGCTGTGTTCTGCTCCATGGCATGTCGTGTTCTGCACAGAGCCTCGATGCATGCAGCTGGCTTAGGGAAAGCCCATAGGCATGTACCCGTGTCCTGCATCCATGCATCCGTGCATCCATGCATCCATGCATCCATGCATCCATGCATCCATGCATCCATGCATCCATGCATCCATGCATCCATGCATCCATGCATCTGTGCATCCGTTGTCGCATTATTAACACCTAGCCGATGGCTAAGGTGTGAATTACACAGTAGCAGGGTAATGTTGTATTTCTGGTTTTGTACTCTAATTTCGTTTGTGTGCTTGGAGTGTATTGTACTGTATTACAGGGCCGAGTTGCTTGGGAGTTCGAGGTGGATGGTGGGAGGCGAATTCAATTCCAGCCCGTGAATTCAATTTCGAATTCAACAGGCTGGAAGGCGAATTCCATTCCAGCCTGGGAATTCAATTTCGAATTCACCAGGCTGGAAGGCGGTGCATGCCTAGTGGGCCCAGTGGGACCCAGCTAGCACCTTGGAACCCTCGCGAGCAGCCTGGCTGACTCGCTTGGTGCACAAGAGCTTGCTTGGGGCTGAAGCAACCTAGGCAGGAAGGGGAAATAGATGTAGGCAGGAGTAGCACTCGGGCTCTTTGCTTTTTGCTTGTTTGTTTCTCTTTTACTGCAATCTTGTTTTCCTAATCCAAAGGGAACTAGCAGTAGGGAGGAGCTGAAGCAATCTGACTGAGCCCTTGCGAGGGAGTTTAGACTTGTTTCAAACAAGCAAAAAGGGGGACTACGGTGCTGAGGTTTCAGCAGAACAGGCACGGACGCCTGGAGTTACCTACGGTGATGCACCGTGAGGGATGAGCGGCCTAGATCAAGATTTATATACTCATCAACTGCGTTCAGGTCACAGATTTCCTGCGCGGAGGATGGAGGGACAAGGTCAGCAGACTGGGACACCCGGATTTCGGGCAGGCGAGGGAGTTGCAAACGCGAGTGGTAACGCCAGCACAGATCAAGTGAAGGAAGGCGGCAGACGCGGAGAGCAGCCACCAAGCTCAACTTGCAATTCCCCTGCTCCAGGGATTGGAGCTCGATCGGTTGGTGGTGGCGGGTCTCAGTAGGGAACACCAGAGCCGAGAGGAGGAGAACACCATGAGGATCGACGGAGCCAGCAAGAAGGAGAGGCGTATCACGACTTCTTGGCGGGGAGATATGACTCCATGGAGGCAGGACGAGGAGATCAGCCTGCTGGGAGTGGCGAGAGGGGAACAGCGAGCTGGGGAACGGGCAGAATTATGAGCGCAGCACCTCCTAAGATCGAGGTGCCGGATCGCTTCTCGGGAGCGCCTGGAGAAGAGCCTACGCTTAAGAATTACCTTATGATGGTGGACGACTTCCGTTACTGCTGGGAGAGAGAAGGGCTCGATCCTATTGATTTTTTTAGAGGATTGGGGAGGACGCTCAAGGGAGAAGCGCTGACACACTACTGGGTGGAGAGACAAGGGCTGCTGATGCAGAGTAAGCGAGGAGAATTCACGCGGGTGGAAATCACAGACCGATTCTTGGAGAGCCTGCGAGAACAATTCTCGGGGCATTCGGCAGATCGGATGACAGAATTCCAAGACTTCAAGAGAGCGAGAGGAGAATCCCTGCTAGCCTACTATAACCGACTGCTGGAGCTAGCGGAAGATATGGGCTGCTTGGAAGAACGGACCTTAGTGTCTAAATTCGTGGGTGGATTGGAGGAGGACCTGATGCAAGACATGCGGAGCCGACTGTACACGTTGGGGATGAAGGCGAAATTGCGGCAGGTGTATCAGGTCGCGAAGGAAGTAGAGGAGGGAAGGAGATTCTTTGATGGGCTACGCGAAGCAAGCTCTAGCAGACCAAGCGAACGTAGGAGGCCTGCGTGGGCAGCGATGGAAGGAAAAAGGCTGGAGGAAGAACGGAGAGATAAGCTGTTTGAAGATAGGCGGCGGTGTCACAGATGCGGAGAACAAGGGCATGTGCGGAAGGATTGCGCCATTGATATCATATGCGGCACCTGTAAGGAGAAAGGGCATTTCAGGCGCAATTGTCCCAAGGCGCCGATCTGCACCTTCTGTAAGAAACGTGGTCATACTGAAGAAAGATGCTATAGCAAGGGAGAGAAGGCGGGAGGAAAATCAGCAAGGGAACAGCAGCTGGAGCGGGAAATAGCAAAGCTGAAGGCTCAGATGGGGAAAGCTGAGATTAGCGACGATCCGGAGAAGGCGTTACTAGCGTGGGAAGACGAGGAAGAGGGGGACTATGAAGAGGAAGAAGCTGAGTATGGGGGGATGGCCATGCCACCTAGAGATAGAGTTCATTTGGTGGTTCAGTTTTTCCGGCGCTCGTTCGAGAGAGCGAGAGCGAGAAAGAGAGAGACAAGGGTGACTTAGCCTCGTCCCTCCTAGCCTCTTCCCCTCCCTTTCCCTGCTATATAAAGGCCGCTCGGCCTCTTTCTTAGTTCATTCTTCATTTGGTGGTTCAGTTTTTCCGGCGCTCGCGCCGGCGCGCGCGGCCTTCGGCCGCGCACGAGGGGCGACAAGATTATCACACTCAAGACATTCGGGATGACAACGATTACAACAATGGCCAGCACGTGCATCTAGACACCCACACATGGAGCGGGTCTACACGCGCGCGAGGGGCGCGCCTACATGCGGTCCGCCTGAAGCTCACCTAGCATTTCGCGCGTGGTCATCCACATCAAGTGGACCACTAACGCGGTGGTGCCGACAACGTCAACAGGAGTTCCGCGACCTCCTACAAGCGACTTCAGGTCCAGGGCCGTCTCAGCCAGCAGGGTGGCCGAGACTACTCCCGGCGAGGGGGCAACCTGCAGTGGCGACACATACGCGAATAGTGTTGACGCCGCCGCGTGACACTTTGCTCGCGGAATCTGAGAGAATGTGCTCGGTGGGGTCACCGACATGGAGCCGTGTGACTCCAGGAGAATCTGTTCAAGACTCTGCAGACTCTCCGCCAGCGACCACAACCGCGCCAGGGTCGCCGTGGGCACTTCCTTCGTCGGCGGAAGGGCTGCAATGGAGCGAGCTCGGCGAGACGTCACGGCGAGATCACAAGGAGGAAGGGCAGGGCGCGGCGGAACAAACGTGGCCCAGGGATCCCCACCACCTGCCCCCTGGAAACCCGCCCCCGCAGGCAGCGGGCGGCCAGGACGCACAAGGGACCCCTCTGGGTTGTGCGGCAGGAGAGCGGCGAGGGGAGCGACGGGAGCAGCTGGAGGCGCAGTTTGAGACGATGACTCCGCATTCACACGATGGAGCGCCTTCTCCACGCCGTCCAGTCTCTGGAAAAGACGATCCATCGCGGACGGCGCACGACGCACCGCCCCGCCGCGAGCATTTCCTCCCCGCCGCCCAGGTCGTCCTTGACCACTGGCATTTGAGCGAACGGGTGATGGCTGGCGCGACGGAACGCGCTGGCGCTGGCGGCGAGGAGATCGCGGCGTGCGACGAGGAGAGTAGAGCCGCTGGCGCTTTGACAACCGCGGCGAACGAGCGGACGGGGAACGGTGACGAGAGGCGCGACGATCAGGCGAACGAGGACGTGCCGATTGGCGAACAGGGGTCTGGAGACGACGCGTCCGGCGATCTCGGGACTGGCTGCGCGACACCACGCGGCGGGGCGAACGAGGCAAGCGGGGCGACCGCGGCGGACGCGGCGACCGAGACTTTCCACGGCGTTCCTCGCGGTGGCCCGCCCTCCCATCCTCGCGCGTCACCGACGAACGGCGCCGAGGCGAGCGCCCCCGGGGCGCCACGGCCTCCACGTAGGAGCGCACGCCGGGTGCCTCGCGCGTCTGATCCTTACGTGGCGAGGCCCGCCCCAGCTCGCGCCGCTGATCTTCGAAACGGCGGCGTATCTGATCTGCCACGGACAACGGAACAACAGGGACGCTTGCAGCGGGACGCGGAGGAGGAAGCGGGCGGAGAGCAGGTTCGCTCTCCGCGGTACACTCGCGGACAGGAGCGACGGACGGATCCATCGGGGCGGCGGGTGAGCACCTCGCCCAACGTTGACGGACAGCGCCCTGCAGCGGGCCCAGCAGGACGGGGAGGGAGAGCGGCAGGCGGCGGAGGGAGAGCTCGCGGTGGCGGGCCTGAGAACGTCTACCAGCAGGCGGGGAGGCGGGCTTAAACGAATATGATGGGAGGCAATGATAGCAGCACATCAGATACCGAATTTGTACCAGCCGAGTCCACAGACTCGACCTCCAGCTCTGAGTCTGTCGACGACGTGCAACAGCAGAATCCAGCCCGAGCAGGAAGAACAACACTTTCCCATACTGCAGGTGGCACCGCAGGTGTGAGATCGGCAAGGAGGGGACCCCCAACACCAACCCGCGCCGCGTTGGGCAATGTCGCCACGCCCCCAGCCCCAACCACAATTCCCCACACTTCCACGCCCACGCGAATTGCCAATCCAACTGTTCCTGACTGTAACCACACTCCATCCCAACCCCCCGAAGAAAAATCTCCAGAAACCCTCGCGAAGGACGACGCCCAATTCGCAGTGGTCGAGACTTGGGACCTGACGAAACTGCGCGACAGTCGCGACGCCTCCCTTTCCCGCCACCTCCCCCGCGATCAACGAAAGCTCTTCGCCACAGCCATGCTGGTGCCACTGCTGTGCATGGCGAAGGATCCTGACTCACATTCTGCATGGGTGGTACTCCTTTTCCTTGCACGCCTTACACTTCGCCAACCCTCGCCAAGGCAACCTGACTGGCACACAGTCACATCGCGACTTACCCAATTCCTTTCGGGAGAATGGGATAAGCTGTACAAGGACACCGTGGACTCCCTGTCGTGGCCCCAGCCACCCTGACACCACCCAGATGACATAGGCGTCATCGCACGAGCCGAAGGGCTCGCCAGACGTGGCAGCCTGCGACGGGCGGTAATGGCTCTCGAGGCCACTCCTGTCTGCACTCCGTC